GCTGTCTGAATGTCCTGTTTTACCATGTGTACAGTATTCAAATGTCCAGTAATCATTTAAATACAATGCAGGTCATTATCTGCCTTCAAATTCTTCCTGGGCATTAATAATCTACAGTGCATATGAAACAATATTGGCCCTTGAACAGAACATTGAGAAACTCCATTTGTGATGTCAGGAAATAAATTGGCCACAAGGAGTAATATTTTATCTATTTTGATAAAGGTATTTTCTGTTTGTTTTTGAGTCTCTGTTCATCTTAATGTGTTTTCAGTGGTGGGAGAGCTGACCAGATCAGATATGCATCCTGTCAGATCTTCACATCCTCAAACTGTCAGAACCACTTCAGTCATAATGACACAGAAGCAGCTCTGCAGCTCGATTCTCATCAACCAGTGCATGATAATCTTCAGAGAGTCAAAGACCAGCACAGAACCAGCATGAAGAACAAGTATGAGAGCTTATTTGAGGGAGTCAAATTACAAGAGAATCAAACCCTCGGAGGACCTGAGAGAGAGCGGCATAGACGTCACTGACGCCTCAGTGTATTCTGGGATTTGCACTGAGATCTTTAGAGAGGAATCTGTGATTTATCACAGGAAGGTTTACAGCTTTGTACATCTGAGCTTTCAGGAGTTTTTTGCAGCACTGTATGTGTTTTTCTGCTATTTACACAAAAACAGTGAGGTTCTGAAAATGTTCCTGACAGGAAAGTCCAGAACTCAGTGTGAGGATGTTTCTCTGGATGTGGTTCTGAAAGGAGCAATGAATAAAGCCTTGAAGAGTAAAAACGGACACCTGGATCTTTTCCTTCGATTTCTTCATGGCGTCTCACTGAAGTCCAATGAGGATGTTTCTCTGGATGTGTTTCTGAAGGGAGCAATGAATAAAGCCTTAAAGAGTAAAAACGGACACCTGGATCTTTTCCTTCGATTTCTTCATGGCATCTCACTGGAGTCCAATCAGAGACTCTTACAGGATGCACTGATACACACAGAGAACAACCCAGAGAGCATCAAGAAAATAATCCACAACCTCAAACGAGGTAAAAAAAACAACGTCAGTCCTGACAGATGGATAAATCTGTCACACTGCTTGATTGAGATGAAGGATAACTCTGTTTTCGAAGAAATGCAGACATTTTTAAACTCGAATACAAAACAAAAAAGTATTTCTCTTGCACAATGCTCAACTTTGGCAAACATAATCCTGATGTCAGAGGAGGTGCTGGATGAGTTTGATCTTAAAAAATTCACCACTAAATCAAAAGATGGGAGACAGAGACTGTTACCTGCTGTGAGGAACTGCAGAAAAGCTCTGTAAGTGTGAAAATACAAACATGCAGTAGTTACATTTGACAAAAATTGATGGTGGTGAATAGGATCTTCTGGGTTTGTTCACAAGCATACAATGTAAATTATTGTAGTTAAGTGTTGTTTTTTTATTCTTTACCAAATCAATACAATAAATATATTTTATAAATAAATTATAAAAAAAGGTTTTATGAAATGCTTACACTTTGTAAACATAACCAAGCTACGAGTAAAACTAATACAATTGTAAGGAAGCTGTTAATGTGAATAAATAAATGAATTAAAAATTTTAATATTTTAAGAAAACATTTATTACAGACTGGGGATGCACAATATTTTTGGCATATCATTTATGCAGATAAAGGCCCAATATAAACATTTTGCTGCTATGTTTTGTCAGGAAGATGAAACAATCAATTAGTTTGCAGACAAAAATGCAGAGATGCTTTTATAAGGTCTTTATAAGGACGAGACTATTGTCAGTTTTTTAGCAATACTCATTGGTTTCCTTTTTTCAGTTTAAAGTAGCTACAGTATGATCTTGTTTTTGAATTTATTTAGTTAATATTCTTAAATCGTACAATAAGGTTGTCCAATAGCCAGACAAGTTTCAATCCTTCCAGCAACCTGTCACTCATGAAACGTTCACATTAATCAGTAAATAACAATGATCCAAAAATCAAATCAGTTCCCAAAGGACACAATCAAGTCCCACATTTTTCTCATTCAAGAAGCTGTTTCACTCAGGTGCGTCACAACAGGGAAGAAAATCACAATTTCTGGTTCATGCAGACTTTGAAGTTAAAATTAACTTGGTGCTTTTGGGCATTCTGTGTATCTTGGCCAAGTCAGCTCATTCATTCTTTAAGTTTTTCCAGCCTTGGCTTATACTTCTCTAAATATATATTTCAGCTGAAGTGCTGAATGTCAATGAACTACTACTTGTAAATATTCACATTTGTTTTAAAAAAAACTATCCGAAGTCTTCATTTGAAATATATAAGTCAAGTCACCTTTATTTATATAGCGCTTTTAACAATACAGATTGTGTCAAAGCAACTGAACAGCATTAATTAGGAAAATAGTGTCAATAATGCAAAATGACAATAGTAAACACAAATTTTTCAGTTAAAGACAGTTCATCATTGAATTCAGTGATGTGAACATCCAGCTCAGTTTAAATAATATCTTTGCAATCATGTCAACGATATCGCTGGAAATGAAGTGTCCCCAACTAAGCAAGCCAGAGGCGACAGCGGCAAGGAACCAAAACTCCATCGGTGACAGAATGGAGAAAAAACCTTGGGAGAAACCAGGCTCAGTCGGGGGGCCAGTTCTCCTCTGACCAGACGAACCAGCAGTACAGAAAAATCAATATAAGACGTAATAAAACAGACGATGAATAATATGAACAGCAATTATTATATGATGCAATCAAACTTATAGCAAAATGTGGTAGTTCTGTATGTTGTTTCAGGGTTGGCATCATCTGAGGTCCTCTGAGGAGTTGCATCAACCAAGCAAAATTGATTTGTTTAACCCAAACTAAAGAATAATAATGTGTATTTGATTAGATATAACTGCAGTAAAAGATTAAGAGATGCATTATTTGAATGCTTGGCCAAAGAGATGTGTCTTTAATCTAGATTTAAACAGAGAGAGTGTGTCTGAACCCCGAACGGTATCAGGAAGGCTATTCCAGAGTTTGGGAGCCAAATGCGAAAAAGCTCTACCTCCTTTAGTGGACTTTGCTATCCTAGGTACTGCTATATAAATAAACACCCAGACTACACAACTCCATAGAGAGACAAAACAAGGGCACATTTGCACTGTCTGATGATATTATCTGAAATCATATAATCATATAATATGTATTGACACATACTGTTAGGTCTGCTACACAAGGAAATCATACAGTCTTGCAATCTCATGGAGACACCAGCTCACCAACATGTCATCCCTGTTTTCAGATTGACAGGCTGTGATCTCACTGGTCAGCACTGTGAAATTGTAGCTTCAGCTCTACAATCATCAAACTCCCTGAGAGAGCTGGACCTGAGTAACAATGACCTGCAGGATTCAGGAGTGAAACTGCTCTGTGCTGGACTGAAGAGTTCAAACTGTCAACTCAACATACTGAGGTATTTAATTAGGTATTTAATTGTTCTGTGTAAAATATACATGTACACTCACTGGCCACTTCATGTAAACCTGTTCCATAGGTCATTAATGCAATGTCTAATAAGCTAATCATATAACAGCATGCATTTAGCCATGTAGACAGGGTCAAGAGGATCTGCTGAATTTTATGCCAAGCATCAGAATGTGGATGGAAAAAATATTTAAGTAATTTTGAATGTGGCATGATTGTTAGTGCCAGACATGCTGGAATATTTCATAAACTGCTGATCTACTGGCATTTTCATGAAAAACCATGTTTTCAGAGAAGGGTCTGAAAAAAAAACTTAAAAAAATCAGTGTGCGGCAGATCTGTGTGAAAATGCCTTGTTGATGACAGAGGTCAGAGGAAAATGGCTAGACTGGTTCAAGCTAATAGAAAGTCAAAAGAAACTCAAATAAGCACTCGTTAATACCAGCGAATGTAGAAAAGCAAAGCATCTCTGAACGTGTAACATGTTAAACCTTGCTGCAGATAGGCTAATAACAGGAAAGTTAGACTACAATGGGCATGGGCTCAACAGTTCAACCTGATGGTGGTGTATTGGTGTGGGGGATGTTTTCTTGGCACACTTTGGGACTATACCCAGATAATTTCCTAAATTCATCTAGTAGGCGTATTATCTTGGGAATAGATGCAGATTGGATCGGTAACAAAGTAACAAGCTGGTCCGCATATAAAGCTAGTTTAAGTTCAGTTCTCTTTTGGATTATTCCCTGAAATACGGGAAATGTTCTAAGCATTATTGAGAGAGTCCCAATAGCTATGACAAAAATTAAGGGAGATAGAGGACATCCCTAGTGTGTACCCTGTGACAAAGTATAATAATCAAAATTAACATTGTTAGAATATATGGATGCTTGAGGCTCAACATATAATAAATGTATCCATTAGGGATGCACCGAAATGAAAATTCTAGGCCGAAGCCGAACAAAATGAAACACTGGGCTGAAGGCCGAATACCGAACACAGTTTTTCACATTTTTCCCCCATGTTGGCCTATTTTGCCATTTTTTTCACAATTGTATTAATTAAATTGCCAAAATGTGCTTTTTACTGTTTTGTCCTGCTTTTCAAATAAAAAAATCTATTACAAAACAACAATTAAAAAATATTTAATTAACACTGAACATTTTTTTAAACATTCTAACAGACATTATACCAACAAAGCACAATTTAGCTTAAAATTATTGAGTTAGTAAAATAATATTTTTTGGTCATTTTTGAGACTTGAATCAGGCATATATTTTTTTACTGTACAAATAAAGGCAGCCTTGCTGAGCAGAAGAGACTTCTTTTAAAACATTAGAATATATTACAGATACCAATTTGAACACTATGTGTGAATGTTATAATAAATGTATTAACAGAGCTGTTGTAGAGTAATTATTATTATCATTATTGTCTTACTTTTTATTCTATTTTACATAACGACAGTAAAATTACAATACTATCATTTATGATGAAGGCCAGAGCAGAGTCAATAGCTGATTTCACCTGTAGAGATATACAAAATGTGCAGAGCAGTGGGTCACCAGAGGCAGAGTTGAGAACCACTGTGCTAAACTACTTTGTTTCGTGGTGCAGTTGAGAGTGGCTAAATTGTTTTCAGTATAATTATTGGATTTTAGCAATTTAATTGCACTTTAATAATATAATGTGTTGGCTCCTTGAGCATCGATGTCTGTTTTGCAACCTTTTGTGACAGTCCTTAGAGGTAAAGCTGGATTGTAGCATAATTTATGGGGAAGAACTCACATGCCTTGTCCTGTAAATTTAATAAATATGCAATGAAAGTGTAACTAAAGTGTAATTCAAAAATATTTGAGTACACTGTAAAATGTTTTCACTGTAAATTTGCAGTAATTAACTGGCAGCAGCTTCACCTACAAAGTACTGTATTTTTTATTTTTATTAAATGTTTTTGCTGTATATACAATTACAGTGTATTAAGCCTCTGGGGTCTTGAGGGTGTTTTGGGGGCCTGGAGAAGTTTTGACATGCCCTGACATTTGTGCTTTTTTCAGTTACTTATAAACATATAAATGGCTAAAGACTAATAACACTGTAAACAGCACAAGCTAGGCTACAATAATATGTTAG